GGGGATGGGAGCTGCATGGCTGGAGGGAAGAGGGGGCTTAGGGGCCTTGGCCCAGCAAGTGCTAGATGCCTCACCCCTCAGCTCTTGATGCACAGCGTGAGCGCTGCACGAGGCCAAACGCTTGAAAGCGGCCAAAAACGCGGGTAAGGGCAGGGCCTCTTGTCCCGGGCAAACACGAGCACCGGCTCTGCCTGTGGCCAGGGCAGCTGCAGGGCACCCTGTGGCACACCAGGGCACATGTGGGCCACGAGCTCCCATTCTCACCGCACCAGGGATCCCGGGGCTCCTCCCTCCGGGATTCCCCATCATCGGCCCGCAGGGCGCCTGGCACAGCTTGAACCAAAACCACCCTCGGAGGGAGGCAGGAAGAACAGGAGGAGGCGGCCGGGCAAGGAGCAGGCCTGGAGCCCCAAAAAGGAGGGCAGGAGGAAACTGCCCACACTGAAGTCTTGGCCCTGGGAGGCTCTGCCCTTCCTGCCTCCCTCCTTGCAGCCGCTGGCCCTGGCAGCTGCCCGGCTCCGGCTGTGCCGGAGGGGACAGGGCAGCCAGGAGCAGCTGGCTACAGCCATTAACGGAGACGGGACTTTATTTACTTTTTTAATAAATACACTTTACATTAAAGAAAAAAAAAATAGGCCTTCAAGTTGCTGTTTCCACACACAGGGCAAAAGGAAGAAGAAGAAAAAAAATAAAGATTTAAAAAACTTGAACCACAAAAGGGCAGGGGAATAAAGAGGGTTCAAACGTCAATCCCAGATTCCCAGGGCCCCAGGAACAGGTGGCTCCGAGCAGGCCCCACTGGAGCTGATGGCGCAGCAGGAAGCTCCGTGCTGGGCGGCGAGTTCAGGCACCCAATGGCACCAGGGCCCAAAAGCAGCCGCAAGGCAGGGGCCAGGTGCTCACGCCTGCCTTCTTGGAGGTGGTTTTTCTTTAAAAATAAAATCATATTTAAAATAAAAATATTCTCCTCCCCACTTTTAGAAATCATGATCCTCTTATTTCATTGAGTTGTTGCATAAAAATGCCTCTTTTTTGTTGGCGCCTTTAGTTTTAAACAATTCTTCTCCCCCAAACCTACCCCAAGGTAACAAGGTACTACAGGAATACAAAGTTCATCCCCTCTTTACTAGAACACCTGCCTTTTTTTTTCTTTTTTTTTTCTTTTTTATATAAAACTATTTCTGTTCTTTAGGAAAGAACTTTATACAAAGAAAATATATTGTGAAATATCTTCAGAAGTTTCCTTGAAGAGGAGAGTCATCTCAGCCTAAAATAAAAAAATTAAAAAAAAAGAAAAGGCAGAGAGAAAAAAAAAAAAAAAAAAAAGAAAAAAAAAAAAAAGTGTGAAGGGAATTCAAAGGGAGAAAACACTCACTGTAGGAGAAGAGGTGTGAGCCACTGAGATACTGTGTTTGCAGAGAGGTCTCAGCAGAAAAGGGACTTGGGAAGAGTGTTTGCAAAGCTCTGAGAAACGTCCTTCTGGAGATGCAAGAAAGATGCACCTGGATACTCTGAAATTTTTGTCTCTGTGCTGGGAAGGGAGCGCCACTTCCCACCACCGCGCGGCCGCCGCTCCTCACTCGTTCAGCGACAGGATGATGTCGTCCTCCAGGTCCGAGTTGTCCGAGCTGTCGGCTGGAAGGAGACACGCGGGTTACGGAGGGCCATGAGGACCGTGGTTCCCCCGAGGGGAGCAGCAGCAGTGGGAGGCAGCCGGCACCGTTAGCGCTACCAGATCCAGCAGTAGCCATTAGCAGAGCGCACAGAGCTCTCCCGCCGTTACCGCACACGGGCGGGAGGAACGGGGCGGCTTTGGCAAGCGCGGTGCCCAGGAGCTGGCAGCGCCTTCCCAGGACAAGGCAGGGGGACAAGGGCAGTCACTCCCGCGCTGCCTGCATGGCTTTACCGTGCATGTCCGGACGCGGCAGCTCCTTAGAGCCCGTCGCTCCCTACACAAGCCCCACAGCTCCTCCAACCTGACGCAGTGACGTGCAGCCTCCGTGCAACGTCCACGGGGCCCATTCCCTGTGGCTGCTTCCCTAGGCAGGGAGGTGGCCCCAGGCCTGCCCAGGGTGAGGTTCCCACTGGCCTCTCACTCCTCTCTGGTGGGATCCATTCCTGAACCCTGTGCTCATGATCAGCACCTTCCTCTGGCAACTCAAAGGCTACTGCAGCAGTTTTAATTACAGGTGACCTGTGACTGTGAAAACTGAGATGTCACGGGGTTTCTCCTTTCCAATACAGGATGAAGGCAGGAGAGGACATGCCAGGTGTAACCACACACACACACACACACACCTGCTTTTTAACTCAAAACTGAACATCTCGCCCCACTCCGTGGAGCAGGAGGGAGGTGGTAGCGGTTCCAGCGGTGGCAGCTCCTGCCTTACCTTGGGTGATGATGGCTCTTTGTGAAGTGCTGTCACTGGATGCTGCAGTTAACTATGCGTTAAAAATAGTTAAGAAAAAAAAAAAAAAAAGACAAGATTTCCTCTCAGCCATGTCAGTTTTACTGCATTGCTAAAATGCCTCTCAAGGGAAGGCAGCCCTTCGGGAAGGTTCATCCCCTGCTCAAATGCTTTCCTTGAAAAAGAAGAAAACGACAGGCAAGCAGAGGGCACAAACCCTTTCCCTCAACTCCACTGGGATCCCTCAAACACAAAGAGAAAAACCAAATGCCAGAGGGAGCCTGGGAGGTGACCTTCCCAGGAGCCTTTTGCTGGCAAGTTATTTGAAAGTATTTGGGCCTCTGGGAGCAATCGGCCAAGAGCTGGCACCGGTGCTCGGATGCACCCACTTCTGGAGCCAGACTGGTTCAGAGTCTGGTGTTTCCTCACGGGCAAGAAGCACTGGAAGAGCAACTGCTGCCCATCTGCTTCAGAAGAGCTACGAGACCATCCAGGAGCTCAAGTTGCTGGGCAAGGAACCGTGACCGGGCTGACGCCGAGGGCTCCCGGCGCTCCCAGAGCCACAGCAGGGCCAGCGGAGCCGGAAAGCAGCAGCCAGCGCTGCAGCGATGAGGCTCATGCAGCAGGATCGGGGGAAGCACAAGGGGGACCAGCCAAAGGCTCGGGAGAGAAAGAGCAGCAGAAAAGCCTCTCCCCAGGAGGACAGCTTTGGAAAGGGAATTCCTGCCTGCTCAAGCTTCAGACAGCAGTGGTACCTGCTCAGCAGATGCTCATAGCTTGCCTGGAAGTTGTCGCTCTAGCTTGTAAGACAAAAGCTCAGAAAACAAGAGAGTGTCACCCTGTTGCAAGTCACCCACATCAGCAAGAGAAGTCACAGCCCCTTGAACACAGTGTAGCCCCAGGGCAGGCTCTCTTGGCCTCAGATGAGCACTCCATCCACCGCTTCCCTGTGGAATCTCGTAGGGACACCTGCTGGCAGGAACGAGCTCATGGAAGATGTGCACTAGGCCCAAAGCACCTTAGGCAGGTCAAGCACAGACCTACCCAATGTGGTGACAAAGGAGGGGGAAGGCAAATTCATGCTTAAGACCTTTTCCACAGATGGTGTGCGAGAAGGAAACAAAGCCTCCTATAAAGCAGGAGGATCCAAAGCCACTCAGTTCTCTCCTTCAGCTGGTCCTTGAGTTATCCTGGTCCAAGCACACCCACTATATCTTATGTAGGTTGAAGCAAAACACACCAAGAGGAGGCAAAGGAACAAAAGCAAGACAAATGAAGCTGGTGTTTCAGAGAGGAAAGCCACAAAAGCCCCCCGAAGAACCACGTGCAGGGACTGGGCATCCACGAGCCTGGCAAAGCTGCACTCCTTGCTTGTAAGGTCCTTTTTTTTTTTTTTTTTTTTTTTTTTGTCAAGCAGCCTCACAACCAATAAGATGCCTTGGCTGGACCTCCCCAGAGGTATCAGAAGTTCTGCTCGAGTTGTCCTGTCCAAAGAGGGTGTAGAGATGTGGCCATTTCATAATGAGCAAGGCTCACATACATACATACACACACACACACACACACACACACACACACACACACACTCCTTGTTAATTTTTCAAGCCTCTGCAGCTCTGGACTGTGACTAGATTTTTTTTTTCCTCTTCATTTTTAACCCCCCAAAGTTACATTAGCATTAGAACAGTTCAGTAAAAAGAAAGCAAAGTTGGAAACACCATGATAGCTTTGCACTTTAAGCAACTGAGAAAAGAGAAAGAATAGCATCAAGGGAGGAGAAAAAGAAAAGGAAAAAAAAAAAAAAAAAAAAAAAAAAAGGCTTCACTATCTTTAAGGAGACCAGGAAGGGAGGTGAAGCAGCAGCTTAACCAGCATACCCCTAACAAGCAGGGCTGGCAACATCCAGACAAGGCTTCTTCACCTGCAGTTTTCACAGCCTGCCTTTAAGCTCTCACACCTGCATCTGGGAGCACTTGATGGGAAGTACCTGCCTTTCCAGAACTCACAGGAGGTTTTCTTTCCTCAGATCAGAGCTGTTTCACCAATAGACTAAGAGACAACAGCAGAACAAACATGGGAACTTGGGCCTTCCATACCAGGGAGGAGGGAAGGTCATCTCTGTCAGTCCACACGCTCAGCTGCCATTACACAGAGGTCACCTCCAGTCACCAAGTTGGGCATTCGCACTTACTGTCTCCAAGAATCAGCTCGACTTCCTCATCAGCATCAGAATCTTCATCTTCACCCTCATCTCCCTCTTCCAGAAGGTTGGCCAGTTCCTCATCATCAGAGGGAGAGAAATCGTTTTCTCCGTCCTCACCAGCGTTCTCGTTGTTCTCATCCTCCTCCAGCTCAGCTTCCAGCAGCTGGTCTGTATCCAGCTCATCGAGGTCATCTGTGTCATCATCATCTTCGTCATCATCCTCCTCCTCTTGCTCTTCCTCCTCCTATAGAGACAACACACAGAGCCCATTGCGGACATGAACACAAATGCAAAATGGAATAAGGAGAATTGAAGCAAGCAGACTGATAGTTCTCGCTTCTCCCCACACCCATGTCACCTATTCCTGTACTGTTACACCTCCTGTCCCCACCTACGGACATGGTGCATCCTGGACTCATTTCCAGGCCTGCAGAGTCTTGTCTGTGCAAGGCAGGTGTAACACAAACACCATTAGCCTAAGCTCCTCTGCTAGCCATGAACAAACGTCATTGAAACCTGCTTTGGAGAAGGACATGCTGTAAAACCCTGCAATCCATGGTATGTTGCCAATCTCATACAAACTGCTTGTTTCAACCACATCAAAATCTTTATTTTGCATCAAAGAGCACGCAGCACGGATGTTGGCGCTCTCAGTCATTCCCAGCTTAGCTGTCAAGTCAGATATTGAGAAAGATACTGTTTTCAACACTGTATCCTGCACCATCAACCTGGGCAAGTTGACGGATTAGATGAGCAATGAGGTGGACTAAGAACAGGCTGGATGGCAGAGCTCAGAGCGTTGTCATCAGCAGCACAAAGTCTAGCTGGAGGCCTGCAGCTAGCAGGGTACCCCAGGAGTCAATCATGGGTCCAGTGTTGTTCAACTTCATCAATAACCTGGATGAAATACAAGAAGCTCTGTCTGAATATAAGAAAACACTTCTTGACTCTGAGGGTGGCTGAGCACTGGAACAAGTTGCCCTGGGAGGCCGTGGACGCTCCATCCCTGGAGATACTCAAAAGCCACCTGGACAGGGTCCTGGGCAATGTGTCTAGGCATCCCTCCTTGAGTTGGGTTTGGACTAGATGATTTCTAAAGGTCCCTCCAACCTCAATCATTCTGTGCTTCCTCTATGAATCTATGAAAAACTAATTCTACAACAGAACTCAGCAATCTCATCTTTAACATTTACCTGGGTGTTTGTTTTTCCTACTATCAAACCATAAGAAATTACACTCAGTAAAACGATGGAATTTCTTATTGTACAGATCAAATCCAGACGTCCGTGTCTAGGAGAGCCCGAATGCAAAGAGGCTGTTATAGCCCCCTTCCAATATCCCTGTGCAGTTCCTCCCAGCCCTTTGCTGCTGCTGAACACTCTCCTGCAGCAACAAGGCAGCTCAAAGCATTCGGCCTTAACTGCCCCTTCATCTGGGGAGGGAACTCATTTTGCAGAATTATGCAGCAGTGTGATAGGTATCTAACAGCTCCTCTAGAAGGCCGAGCTTGGCCTTCGAGCTCGCTGCACTCCTACACTGTGGCTTACACTGTTGCATTGTCAGATCTATGGGGAAGAGAAGAACAAACCACACGCTTTTCTTTAATCAACATTTTAAAAAAGGCCCAAACCACACATATTCAACATCTGTCAGAGGCAAAAGCAGCAGGGCATGCCAAAAGCCCGAGCAAGCCCTATTGTTCTGCTACCCTTAGGAAAGGCTCCCAAACCTCCCCTAGTGACCACAAGGGCCTGCGTTATTTCAAATAGGGATTATTAACAAATAAAACATCAGTTTGCTGCAGGGATGTCCTTCTGAAAAAAAGTGTAATGTCAAATGCAAAATTAAAGCAACCTGTATTAAGTCAATCACAAACTTTTTACCCAATTGCTGAATCAGAGGACACCACTTTTTATGCTGAACATGCACAGAGAGGAAATAACTTTTACCTGCAATTCAAACAGCAGTGTCATATTGTGTAAATTTTTCTTCCTTTCTAATGAGCTACTTAAAGCAAATAAACCTCTTTTGTTATTCTTGAGCCTAATTCTATCTTAATAACTTTTGCTTTTGTTCTATGGAGTATCAGCAGAGACCAGTGTCTTAAACTTTACTGTTCTGCTCAGAGCTAAGAATTCAATTAAAAACTGAACAGGCAGCAGAGTTTTTCTTTCTTTTTAAGTCTCTGAACAACCTGGATCAATATATTTAAAGAACCTGGAAGAAAAGGAAACCAAATTTTATGGTGTCTTGAGATGTACAGACAACTTCAGACTTAAAGAAAACACTGTCTGGGAGAATCATTAAGAGTTCAGGTAACTCAAACTTAAACAGTTCCAAAATGAGTCAGGCACTTACCTTGCTTCCACACCTGTGGGATTTCCAAACCCACTTTTCCAAACATCTAGCCACAATGACTTGAACACTGTTACTAAATTTGATTGTGTTGCATATTTAATGCATTTATTACAAATTGAAACAGTGTTTTTATTACCACTTTCATTCAAGCTTAAGGCAAGCCATACATTGCAGCATCACATCCTTCAAATATGGGATGAAACAAAATACGTTTGTATAAAGACACCTTCTGGCTGACAAAAATACAAACCAAGTTACGCAGGAAGAACACATGTAGCTGGAAATTAGCTTTGAAGGATTAGACAAGCCAGTGAGAAAACCTTTTTATGAAGACACAAATGAACATATCAGCAAACCGAAATGACGTGGGTTTTTTTTGCCTTTATGGTTTAAATTAACGGATTTGAAGCATTTGATTAAAACCAAAACACAATCACTTACAAATCTGGGAACAGCAAGATGAGATCTAAATGATACTGTCCTTGGAAAGCAGAGAAAAGCGGTGTGAAGAGCAGGCTGCGAGGAGCCGCACGCGCACATGGGAGCACGAGCGCTGCACGACTCGCATGCGACCCGAGGGGACCAGACCGCAGCGGAGAGGAGCCATCCCCATCATGGAGAAACCCACACCTGTTTTTAAGCAGCATGAACAGGAACCAACAAGCTATGGAGCTTCTGCTAGGCAACAGGCAAATTAACTCAGCATTAGCTTCTGAACAGAAGCTGAATCCTCAGCAGATGCCACAAGTGCTTTGTGCAGGGGATCTGTGCACAGACACGCAGTGGCTCATCCTCCGTGGGGACAAGCAGCCAAAGAAACTCCTCCGCAATGTCACAAAAGGAAGATGGACGAGAAAAATATCCCAAGCCGCATCTAGATGGCAAATTAGGCTCTCACCTAACCCTGCCACAGCCCCCAAGAGTTTGGGTCAAACATTGCGGTCAGCGACACATGTCCTGCTAGGAAAATAAAGAATCAAAATGCAAATCAGAGACCAGAGCTTGACCTGTTCCTAGAGCCCTCATGTCCCTTCTCTGCTTCCTTACAGAATACTCTGACTCTTCCCTCTCCGAGGGCAACTGCTTTACAGCTACAGACGGCACAAGGGTAGAGCTGGAACATCACGTGTTCCTCCGTCTCATCCTCTGACGCACGTTGGGATGCACTTACAGAAAATGGTAAGAGAGTCCATGCTTTACCCACTCATCTTGTATGTACAAAATTCATTAAATTTATCTTTTTGGCTGGTATGGGTCTTTGATATTTGCCATCTAATCAGTGTCGCTCTCTTAATAAAGCAGCCAAAGACTCAGTTACTCCTTGGTGTTCATCCCTTAACAAGACACTGAAGGGTCCAGCAAACTCCAATCTCTCACACTCTGATGCAAACACATATGCTAAGTCAGCACATCTTTTAGTGTTTGATTTTAGCCTATTTCTGAACTGTTTAGTAGTTTCATTTCAGGATATTGAGCAAACAGCTCCCTGCAAGCACAGCTGAGAGCCCTGGAGGTCAATACTAACCCGCACTGGCTACAGAAGAGACCAGAATTTCACCTTCTGCTTGACACACGTTTTGCTAAACAAAACAGAATGACTTTGCACACTGCCTTTTTACAAGCTAAGTTCTCAGGATGCTTTTGGAACGGTTTTCAGACTTTGCTCACTTGCACAGACAGTGGAAAAAAGCTACCATAAAGATGCGCCTGCTTACTTTATAAGCACTATCAGACTTCTGATGCTCTAATATTTCATTTATTGAATCCAAAAAATATTATGGCTACATGAACCAATCTTGAGGTTACCCAACTGAGTATTACAAGATCCCTCAAATTCACAAGTCAGTTGTCTGTCAGTTGCCAAAAGAAGATCCCATGGGTCTTTTCTGGCAACATTAGGTTTGGAATCCTTAACTCAGTTTTGAGATTTACAGGTCCCTATTACTTTTCTTAAACCATTTGTCATGGTTTTGGCTGTTACCAGAAAAGCTTCACCTTTTTGTCTAATATTTCATTCACTTTTTTCCTTTCCCTGCTTGAGTTCAATTCAAAGTCCCAAAGAAATTTTTATTATGTCACTAGTTTCCTGCCTAGTGCCCTCTGCTCCTGCCCCTGGTACTGGTATGAGGTCACCTCCCCCGGCCCGTGCTGGCCTCTGTCCCTCACTTGGGAGTCACCCCTTACCTGCAGATGCTTCCCAGGAGCACAGGCCCTCCCCAAAAGCACACGGGTCTCCTCAGGGGAGGCACCTCTCAGCTTGAATCCCACGGCACTAGACTAACTACTGTTATTTCACCCTGCGAGACTTCCTTTTCTCTACCTGTAAAACAGCTAATCAAATGTAAAGCTTTTCCACTCTTTCTCAAACCTTTGAGGCCATATTTAATTCACTCCTTGCTATTTATAGCTCTCCAAGTCTAGTGCAGGTCAGTAGCTGCCCTACGAACTAACATGTCTGAAGAAGAACCTCTGCTCTGTTTTCTTTCTTCATTGTTATTTTATTTTTTGGTAAAGAAATACACATTTCCCAAAGTCTTGGTACTTTGGTCAATGCATTCACTTTTGCACATGGCATCCTACTGTTCTACTTTTTCCCTTCTTGCTTCCTCTGCTCCCAAATTTCTCAATAGACGAAAAACAAACTTATTTTTAGTAGTCTCTTCCAAAGCAAGAATATTTTAATTGTTACGTTTTTTTTCCGACACAGGAAAGGGCTCCGCCTTCATAAAAAGAACTATGTCTCTTTAGATATCAGTTTACTAAAGAGCATTTTTATTACTGGAGAGGAATAAGTCTCTCCCTCTTCCAGTAACTTATCCTTCTCTGTGCACAATTCTTGCCTTATCTCCTGACAATTCTTCCCTTTGCTTCCAAAGCAGCATCTGT